CATTACGTTATTACTTGTTTGTTGAGTTTTTACTTTATATAAATAATATTAATTCAATATAGATAAATCAAGTAAAATCATGAATATCTTCTTATAGTATTTTTTCAATCCTTTTCGAGGAATAAAATAAGTAGCCATCAATTGATCGGTCATGTCGACACCACCCATTGTATTATTATATTCATAAACACACGTTGGTTTTTCAACTTGAGTTTGTCCTTTCTGAATGATTGTGGTATTGTTCGTATGATATGTTGATAACATATGAACATATTTTCTGTCACGCCATTTTAATGCCATCATTTTATTGTAATATCTTGCAATTCGTTCATTTTTTTTAAGTTTCACATATTTGAAGTTAGATGGAAGACTTTTTCGATTCGAACGAACTGTTCCAACTGCATCTGTATTTCTTTCTACTAGTTGTAGAAACAGTTTTGGTGAGGAGTAATAATTATCCATTACAATACAATGGCCTAAATCTAAATAATCCTCGACCAATGTCATCACTATTCGACTTGGTAATGGTAAATCACTAAATTTGTCCGTACAATCTGTATTACGACCAGTATAAATAATAAAATCGAGAACATAACCATTTATATCACATAACATGAAGAACTTAAATCCAAATCGCGCTCTTTTTAAAGGAATATACTGTTTCCAGGATAGGCGACCCTTGAACAAGTGCAAGCTTTCGTCAACATTTAAGAACCTTCCTGGTCTGTAGAATCTTTTGAATGTTGAACGCAGAACTTCGATAACTAGCCATATCTTTTTCAATGTAATGTCTGGACTTGGATCGGTCTCAAAATGTAACATCTTAAGTAATAGTTGGAATCTGTCAGCAGTTACAATTTTGTTGAAAATAGGTGTGGCTAAAAGCTCATCAGTTGTGAAGTACATCTGAAGCTCCGGCTTTTTTATTATTCCTTGCCATATCAATAAGGCAATAAAAACATTTAATTCTTCAATATTTGTTGGCTCCCATTTATTTATGCGTGAATATTGTCGTCGAGGATTATTACATATATTTTCAGCGTAGCGATTTGTTTCATATACAATCATTTCTATGAAATTTTTAGGAAAAATATAATTCCAATAATCAATAGGAGTTTGAGCACCTATGATTCGAACTTCACGATTGCCAACAAAAGGAAATGGATTTCTGTTGACCGTTGGAGCTGTTGTCCATCTAGTCGGATCAATTTCATCATCAGCATTAGATGAAGATGAACTGGACGTTAACAAACTGTCATCACTATTACTGTAAGAATCGTTGCTTGATGTCATTTTGATTTTATCAAAACAAAATGACCGAGCAATGGAGAATATGTGCAAATGAATATATCATATATATATATCCTTCTACAACCTTCTAGAATTTTCGAGAATATTATTGGAACAGTCCTAAACACTATTCAAAAAATTCTTAGAATTTCTTTGGAACATAGACGTATGTTCTTTCAGTATCTTTCAGAAACAAATCAAGTATACAAGAATTTCTGAAAAGAACTATATGTATATATAAATGATTGTATGCTTGTGCCTATCACTGTCATCTAGAGAGGAAGCAACAGTCAACGTGAAAATGCCACAATTAATAGTGCAATAACAATCAATTCAATAATATTTGGGAAGCGGATCTATACTGAACATGAATAATAGTATAATTGGTACAAAGGAACATAATCAATATGAAACGTTAGAACCGGTAGAGTGAGCTTTAGTTGATGCAGGATGTTAGAGTCGATACAGATCACACAAAAAAAAACAGAATTAAAAAGCTATAGTCTTCGTTTTTTCCATGAAAATTGCTTTGACGTATATATACGTCGATAACAGTTAAGGGGTTAAACAAGAAAAATTTCTTTCTCCAGTCTTTATGAAGTTCCGTTTTCTTTTCTTTTCAGGATTCAAAATATTTAAATAATAACGATAATAAAGGCTAGTCGTTAATATGTCTGAACCATTGACGTACTACATCACAGCCATAAAAATCTTTAACAATATATTATAAATAATACGTAGATAATTAAATTACCAATATCTCATTACATTGGTAGAAAAAGCTCTTGCTAACTGTAAATATATTCAAGAAAACGATGCTTTATAATCACTCGTTCTTTCATTGATTTCTAATGCCATCTAATTTTTCGAAACAGATTGAATTCTTAGTTATTTAGTTTTCGCAGTTTAATTTCTTTTTTGGATAAAAACCAATGATTATGTTTTATCTTATACTCAAAAGATTTAACAAAGTCAGCAAAATACATTAAATCTATACTGTAGATTATAAAGTTATACACATATGTTGTATGTCATGGAGGATTGATGTTTATATTTACACAATATATTTTTGTGAAGATAAGTTGTAATAGAACGTAATTAAAAACATTTTTTTCCTCCTTCATCTTACTCTAATAATTTTTCAAAGTGGACAGTACTAAAAAAAAAAGAAGAGAATAGGATGCCATGTTATCAAACTTGTTGTAGTTTGAGATGTAGTATTGTTCAGAAAATTTTTTTATGTAAGATTACCTTTCGGCTAAAAAATTTACACTTCTTGTATAATTATAACGTTTGTCTCAGCTAGAAAATATTGTTTACAAATTCAAATAATCAGAGCATATGTAAAAGTATATTAGAAATTATCTTTTTTTTGTTATAAGGCTTGATAATTTATAATGATAAAGCTTGTTTTAGATAGTAATTCAATCTTTAAATATGATGAAATTAACTTAGAAGTAACAATTTGAAAATCATTTTTATTAACAATATGAAAGTTTTTCATGATGAGAAATACATTAAAACAGATCAATGTTGAATAGAAAGAAATCATTGTAAAATTAAAAATATTTTGAACATCATTACTAACAAAACTGCATAGTGATTATAATAAATATGCAGAATAGTATTTGTGCTATTCCGTACAAAGATTCATAATATGATAATTCATTTTTGCATTGTACAATATGTATAAATAATAAGAAATTATATTTCAAAAATAAATGTAATAACACTATTTTGTAACATAAAGTTTAATTATCTTACCCGATAATATTAAATTTCTCAGGTTT